TCAAAATGAGCGAGTTCAAAGTTAATAAAAAACATTTTATGTCTTCCGGTAAAGATAATGACATATTGGAAACAGATACCAATATCTTAACTTCCAAAAAAATAAAGACTGAAGATATAATCGATGATGATAAATTAGAAACAAATACCAATATTTTAACTTCCAATAAAATAAAATCTGAAGATATTGTTGATCTTAATGAATCTTCCCAGGTAGAAGGATCCACTCAATGGAGGTTACATATTAAGAATGTACCCAAATTTGCGTCAACCAAGATAATTAAAGATTTGCTTGCTAAGCATAGTTGTGGTGATGTCAAAATTAAAAAGTCTCATGATTGGAATTATTGTTATGCATTTTTCAAGGTTAGAGATCATTGACAAGAATATTGTATTCAATTTTTTTTTTTTTAACAATGTTCTATAACATATCAGCTATTGTTATTTAGACACAAGAGCAACAGTTGCAAGCAATTGACAATTTAAAAAATGTCAATTTCAAGAACAAGACGTTGGTCGTAAATATTGATAATATTACAGAACAAGTTAGTATATTTATTATCAATGTTGATGTGAATTTTATATCATTTATTGATAATTATTATTATTTATTCAGCATCGACAATCATTGTTTGACCAAAGACATGAAAAAAGGAAAAAAAGTTTTTTTAATTCCTCTGGAGACATTCAACGTTCGCCAGAAGAATTACTTGCAAACCAAGTAACACCATTACACAAGTAAGGACGCATCATCATACTTTAATAAATCATTATATATAATTTATAATCTTTATTTTTCAGTTTGTCTTATGAAGAACAATTAAAACATAAAGAAGATGTAATAAAAAAGTCACTCTCTAAATTCCGTAATAAAATTAAGGAATTATACAATGGAAGACCAAAATATAAACCGGGATGGGCTTTGGAAAAGTAAATTATTAGTTGACTAATTTTGATTTCATATTACATCCGAATGAACATCTTTTTTTTTATAATAGGTCAGATTCAAATCTTCCATGCTTATTACAACCCATGATTCCCTCACCTATACTTGAAGGATATCGTAATAAATGCGAGTTTACTGTTGGAAGAAATTTAAATGGTGAAATTGCAGTTGGCTTTTTGTTAGGTGCTTTCAAAAATGGAATAAATTCAGTTATAGTAATTATATACGATATTATTATAATTAGATTGTAATAATTAAAATAATTTAATACAATACTTT